GTGCTCCACTGCAGCAGCCTAGTTGGCTGGTTGAGATCCTGCGTGTGGACCAACACACCACTCATGAAGCCATGCTGTGGCAATGTCCCACATACAAAGTAGAGGAAGATTAGCATAGATGTTAGCTCAGTGACGATCTTCCCCAAGCAAAAACAGGAAGATTGGCAACAGATGTTAGCTCATGGCCAATCTTCCTCACAAAAAAACCTGACAAAAATCAAATGCATTTCCATATATTTGCAAAGAACAATCCAAAAAGGAAATTTAAAAAAAAAAATCAATTCCATTTATAATAGCTTGAAAAAGAATGAAACATTTAGGAATGAATTTAACAAAAGAAGTATAAAACATATCCCCTGAAAACTACAAAACACTGAAAGGCTAAAAACTTTTGCTGGGCAAAATACTCTGTTCAGAAGATAACAAGACAAGCTGCAGAGTGGGAGAAACTATTTGCAAAGCATGTATCAGACAAAGGACTAGTATCTATATAGAAAGAACTCTCAAAACTCAACAGTAGTTGCCAGGGTGAAGTGGGAGAGAGGGGGAGTTACTGTTTAGCGGATACAGTGTTTTGGTTTGGGAAGACGAAAAAAAGCTCTGGAGACGGATAGTGGTGATGGTTGCACAACAACGCAAATGGACTTAATGCCACTGAACTGCACTTAGAAATGGCCTAAATGGTTAATTTTATGTTATGTATATTTTATCATAATAAAAAACAAAAACTCAATAGTTAAAAAAAATTCAGGGGCCGGCCCTGTGGCCGAGTGGTTAAGTTAGCACACTCTGCTTTGGTGGCCCAGGGTTTCACCGGTTCGAATCCTGGGCACAGACATGACACCGCTCATCAAGCCATGCTGAGGCGGCATCCCACATGCCACAACTAGAAGGACCCACAACTAAAAATACACAACTATGTACCGGGGGGCTTTGGGGAGAAAAAGGAAAAAAATAAAATCTTAAAAAAAAAAAATTCAATTAGAAAATGGGCAAAAGACATGAAGAGAAATATCACCAACAAGGATATACAGATGGCAAATTAAGCAGATGAAAAAATGTTCAACATCATTAGCCATTAGGGGAATGCAAATTAAAACCACAATGAAATTATCACTACACAACTATCAGAATGGCTAAAATAGAAGCTGGTGACAACACTGAACGCTGGTGAGGATTCCAAGAAACACTCACTCACACATTGCTTGTAGAAATGCAAAATAGCACAAATACTCTGGAAAACTGGCAGTTTCTTCAATAACTAAACATTCAATTACCATAAAATCCAGCAGTTGCATTTATCCTAGAGAAACGGAGACCTACGTTCATAAAGAAACCTGTACATGAATGTTTATAGTAGCTTCATTGATGCAGCCAAAAACCAAAAACAATTCAGATGTCCTTCAACAGGTGAATGATTGAACAAATTGTGGTACATGCACAACCTAGACTACCACCCAGCACTAAAAGGAATCAAATAACGATACACACAATAAACTGGATGAATCTCCAGAGAACTACGGCGAGTGAAAAAAGCCAATCTCTAAAGGTTACTCACTGTAGGATTCCTTTTATACAACATTCTTTAATGACAAAATTATAAAAATGGGGAACACATGAGCAGTTGCCACGGGTTTGAGGTAGGGGAACAGAGGATGTGGTATAAAAGGGCAACACAAGGGATCCTTGTGGTGATGGATATATTGTATATCTTGACTCTATGGATGCCAACATCCTAGTTGTGATCTCGTACTACAGTTTTGTAAGATGTTACTTATCGTTGGGGAAAACTGGGTAAAGAGTAGATGGGATCTTTGTATTATTTCCTACAACTGCATATGAAATTATAATTATCTCAAAATAAGAACAAAAAAATAAACAGGGGGAAGAAAATATATAGTACTGTTGTAGAAACACCAAGGAAGGAGGAGGTAGAGGAAAAGAAGAAAGAAGGGAAGAGAGGTCTATTTGCTAAATGTGTTCTAATTAATTAAAAGCTGTATATGATAATCATTATCAAAACAACCTATATGCCTATTTCCTGATCTATAAAAGCAAGAAATTAACCTTAATTTCTAAGATCTAACATTTTATGATTCCCTAAGTGCTTGGAAAAGCTCAAGATTAACTGTGCTATTTCTATGAATTATGCAAAATAGTTTGACTAGAGATATCGTAGATGTATACATATATAGAGGACATAATCAAACACCTTCTATTAGAATAAAGATTACAAAGTCAATCTAATGAAAGGTTGTGAGTCAAGTTTTATGTAAAATCCAACTGTCCTCAGAACAACCTTGAAAAAAAGTCAAGAGACATAACAGTCAAAGAAATTAATTCAGATATAACTGCATATTTAAGCTGCTAGCAAGGTGGATTCCACATTATAGAATCACCATCTAAAAGAATTTCCCATGTTGATTCAGATTAATCAGTTCTATTTTTTATATCTAAAAATACCACTGTAATGATTTCTGATTCAGGACTTAAAGGGGGAAGCGAAAGTGAAAATGATCTATTTTGAGGGGCTAACTTGTGGGAATAGAGGCAAGGTCAGCTACAGGGGTAAAACTCTCATCTTTGGGGCCAGCCTTGTGGCCAAGTAGTTAAGTTCATGCGCTCTGCTTCAGCGGCCCAGGGTTTTGCAGGTTCGGATCCTGGGCGCCGACATGACACTGCTCATCAAGCCATGCTGAGGCAGCATCCCACATGTCACAACTAGAAGGACTCACAACTAAATATAAAAACTATGTATAGGGAGGCTTTGGGGAGAAAAAGGAAAAATAAAATCTTTAAAAAAAAAACTCTTACTCTAGTGAAATGGTTGATACTAGGGCTGGGATAGAGAAAGTACAAGATGAAACTGGAAGATTTTGTAGTACCAGCAAATAAAAAAATCACTTAAAAAGTGATGAAGACATCTCAAAAGGACAATGTTAGCTTCAACAGACTCCCATTGGCCAAATCTGGGATAATCTGAGCAAAAAGTTATGACAGTAAATGGATTAAACCATTTAATAATATAAGAATCCATGAGTCCATACTAAAAAATTAGCTAACGAGGCACAGGGAAAAGCTCTTCCTTAAAGTAGAATTCCAATTAATAAGGAATAATGGAATTAGAAAATCATCATTTAGCAATCAACAGAGTAATCTTTTCAAACAAGAATCATCAACGGATGTTAAAACTAGCGGACAAAAGTATAATGAGAAATGATATTTACAGTCTCAAAATATGTCACCACAAAATACTTATTAATTACAAAGGGAAAAAGTACTAATTTTAGAGTGGAGAAACCTGGCAGATATCACCTTAACCAAGTGATCTAAATTAATCAACTGTAATGGGACAGATTGAAGACATGTGGCCTCCCCATCCCCCTCATATCACTTCTATAGTATTCCTGTGGTCAAATTAATAAACAGAAACCTCATTCAATGCGAGATAGGAGGCCAAAGGATGGAGCTCTCACACCCTACCGTGACAGCAGAGCCCAGGAAAAAGACTTCTTGACTGGCAAGCAGCTCAGCCAATGAGAGACTGTTACAACTCAGCCAACGAAAAGCCACTACACCTCAAATTCTTTGTTTCCATAACCCTCCCACGGTCCTCTTCCCCTCTATAAAAGAGTTTCTCTTCCCTTGTTGCTGAGGCCCTCACACATGGCTTGCCCATGGTTGTAGACACAGAATTCCAATTCTTTTTTTTTTTTTTTTTGAGGAAGATTAGCCCTGAGCTAACTACTGCCAATCCTCATCTTTTTGCTGAGGAAGACTGGCCCTGAGCTAACATCCATGCCCATCTTCCTCTACTCTATACATGGGATGCCTACCACAGCATGGCTTTTGCCAAGTGGTGCCATGTCCACACCCAGGATCTGAACCGTCGAGCCCCAGGCCGCCGAGAAGTGGAACGTGCGAACTTAACTGCTGCGCCACCGGGCTGGCCCCAGAATTCGAATTCTTTGCGCATTCCAAATAAACCCATTTTTGCTGGAGAAATAACTGGCTATTTTTTTAAGGTCAATAATGCCAAAAATGCATAACCTCAATCTAATCGTGAGGAAACAGACTACTCCAAATTGAGGGACTTTCTACAAAATAACTGGTCTATATTTCTTACAAGCGTCATGAAAAACAAATTAAAAAATTTTAAAAAGCTTAAGTGAAGGGCCAGCCCTGTGGTATAGTGGTTTAATTCTGAAAGCTCCACTTTGGGGGTCCAGGTTCCTGGGTTCGGATCCTGGGCGTGGACCTACACCACTGGTCAGCTATGCTGTGGCAGCAACCCACACATAAAATAGAGGGGGACTGGCACAAATGTTAGCTAAGAGCTGCTCTTCCTCAAGCAAAAAAAAAAAAAAAAGAGGAAGACTGGCAACAGATGTTGGCTCAGGGCCAATCTTCCTCAGCAAAAGAAAAAAAAGACCCAGATTGAAGCAGACAAAAGAGACTCAATTGAAAGCAACATGTGATCCTGGATTGGAGCCTAGACCAGACAAAGGGCATTACTGGTAAAATTTTTAAAAGGTCATAGATTATAGTATTACATAAATATTAATTTCTTCATTTTGATAACTGTAATATTTGTTTTTAGGAGGTACACAAGGAGAAGTATATTCATCTCAAGGTCTCACAAAAAAATTATAGAGAGAGAGAAAAGAGAGAAATATCTATGAAAGCAAAATATTAACATTTGGGGAATTAATCTGAGCAAAAGGAATATGGGAATTCTTAGTTCATGTTTTTACAACTTTTCTTAAATATGAAATAACTGCAAATTTAAAAGTTAAAACAAAAACTGAAACTCAGTTTGGAACCTAGAGATGGGGGGGGAACTAATCAGTCTTTCCTTCAAGTTCCTTTATTTATATAAGATACTCTCTATCAAAAGAAAAAATGCTGAAGATCTCCCCTTTTAGGCCCAAGTTAGGTAATATGCTTCTAATAATTACCACTTAGATGATTTATAGTGGTAGTTAATATGAGGCACTCACATAGTTTCCTCATCAATGTCATTTTCTTCCGTGTTACTTGTGGCTGTGGAACTGGCAGAAGAACTGCTCCCATCAAGGTGATTTATTTCATCTTCACCAACAAGATCCAGATCCAGATCTCCATCTGAAAGTTCATGCTAGATCAAGGCAAAGAAACAAGATTTTATCTCAAATGCTCTACTCAGTTGATCATCCCATCTAGCCCACATATCAAGCACCAAAGAATAATGTTATCATCAGAATTCTCTGCTCCTGTGCCTAAGCTGCTGTGCTCTGTAGAGAAACTCACACAACCACATTACCTGGTACCAGTAACACATTATTGCTGCCAATTTCAGCTAGGCTCTCAATGCATCTGGAAATGCTTCATATATTTCATGTCAGCTTCCAGTAAGGCTTCTCACAGAGTAACAGTTCAAACCATCACTCCTCAAGTCCTACTTAACCTCTGCTACCCTCAAGGTCATTACAAAACCCTGTCACCTATCTGCACAGGAAAACGCACTGGGTATTAAGCATAAATCTCTCCAACTTTCAGCTGCCATACCTGCAAACTCCACCCTTCCTTTAACTCATCCTATCAAAGGTTAACTGCTTCACCCGAGCACTCCATTCCAACACTTATTACCTCCTTAAATAATTTGTTTTGTCAATACTTTAACCTCATCTTCAATCTCTCTTCCACTGGCTCCTCATTTTAACACATACTTGACATCTCCCATCTTAAAAATAACTACAACAAAAAAATTCTTGTCTCTGCATCCTTGTCTTACTTTAAGCAATAACAACCACTTCTTGAATTCTGAATTCTAATTCTGGTTGTTGTCGAGCTGGGACAAAACCTGGCTATCTCCCAAATCCTAGATCATTCTACCTATGTATGCAATAAGGTACTCAACCTGTTTCAGTGAATGAAAATAGGACACATTTTTAAAATCCACAATTTACATAGTTTCTAGAATGTGCATCAGTTTGTTTCCCACAATAAATTAATTTTTAGAAACTCGAAACACTTTGATTCAACAACTTCTGATTTATAAACATTAACATTTACAGAAGGGGACATACACTGACAGTGAAAACAAATAAACAAAATTTTCAGCACACTCATTCCCCAACATCTTATACTGGAAACCAAGATCTTATCATTTCTCTTTTCAAACACAAAATAAGTCTAACACTCTAATTATTACATGATAATCTTCATTCTGAATCTTCTCCTCATCTTCTTCATCCTCTTTGGCCTCTCTTACAGAAGCTGTAGTAGGACCATCCTGTAGAAGCATGTCAGTGCATGACCCAGACTTTTTAGCTCGTGTCTCGGGAGTGTCATCATTTTGGGGGCTAAGATGATTATCTGGTGGTGACAAATCTCTTAATTTCTGAGTTCGAGACAACTCAATAGTGAGTCTCTTTTAAAACAAGAATAGCACAAATAAACATGAATCATAAGCAGTGTTTTACTGGTACAGTAAAAAACATTTCAAGTAAAAAAAATATATCTAGATGCTCCTAAAACCATTCCTTGAACCATCTCTCTCATCCCCACTCCTGCTTTCTGCTTATGGAAAAATCTATGACAAAGAAAAACTGCCCAATTTACTCTCATCCTTCTTCTCATATCCTGCCCAAGATACACATACAGTCAGCAATCTGTATAGTAAATACTGGCAGTTTTAAATAGTACATTTGACACGAAAATCTCTGAAAGTATGTATTTATTATATTTTCCTCCATCATCTATCAACTACTCTCAGCACTTCAAACCTTCCTCCCTATCCCAATGTCCACTGGAAGGAAGAAACATTCCTTACATCATTTAGTTTACCATCACAAAATAAAAATTCATTAACTGATCCTCCCTAGTACTCAGTCCAAAAATAGTGAGAATTCAAGATGTGGCCACTTAAATTGTTCTATAGTACAGAATCCTCTAACTTCTAGACAGTAAGGGCAAGAGAAAACTCAAGTCACTGAAAGAAACATGAAGACTTTACCTCAAACTAGAGCAGTACCATCCAATACAATTTTATGTGATGGAAATATTCTATATCCACAATGCCCAATAAAAGCAGTTGAAATGTGGCTAGTGCAACTAAGGAACTGAAATTTAAATTTACATAGCCATATGTGCCTAGTGGCTACTGAATTAGTGCAGAATTAAAAGTCTCAAAGGTAGTAAGGATGGAGAATAAAATAGCTGGATTTTTCTACAAAATTACAGTGGGCCAGCCCTGGTGGCCTAGTGGTTAAGGTCAGCACATTCCACTTTGGTGGTCAGAGTTCGGTTCCTGGGCACAGACCTACACCACTCTGTTAGCAGCCATGCTGTGCTATCACCCACATACTGAAAAATAGAGGAAGATTAGCACAGATGTTAGCTCAGGGCAAATCTTCCTCAGCAAAAATTTAAATAAATTAAATTAAATTAAAAAAAAAAACAGCAATAAATACCCAAAATCTAATTACAAATACTATGAGCCAATAAAACAATATGAAACACTAAACCCAAAATATATCTTTTTTGCTTACCTCTTTAAGGTTATTTATTTGTTGGATATAGCTAGTCTGTGCAGCTTCCAATTGGGTAATATACCAATGCTGGTCCCGGCATTTTTGAAAGAAAGTTGGTGAACGAACCTGAAACCTTAAAAGAATAGCTGCACGTGAAACATAATCCAAATAGTAAAACATCAACTAAGTCTTGCATCTATTAGTTCTACAATTTTAAGTTTACTTGATTATGTTATAAGGCCAAATTCAAAATGAACTCAGAGCTCTTGGTATCTGCCATTTAAATACGTAGTCCACAAATTACGGCACAAGGTTCTGAAGAGTCATCTATAAGTCAGTTGTCTAAACTCAAACTACTTTTCTAAGGAAATAACATTATACATCATGGTTAAGCTCCCAAACTGACCTACTGAAGGACATTTATTATAAGAATCTAGCTCAAATACAATGCTGATCACGAGTTGGGAAGAAGAGGACCATACCATGCAGGAAGGAGGAAGCTAACACTTTTTCTCCCCTTTCTTGCCTGGGTAGGACCCTAGCAAAAGAGGCAAAGTTTGTTTTAGGCACTGCTCTTTTTCTTTCCCTCTTTCATGTCACATTCCCATATTTCCTGCTCCTCAGTGGAAAAAAAATCACTTAAAGGGTCAACTACCTAGAACTGCTTTACTGTCCCTGCAAAGAGTTGCATGCTGTAAATAACCCATATTCCCAAGGTCTCCAAATGGCAGCCTGAAACCAAAACTCATATCACAATCTGGCATATTTCACCTAGGATTAGGAAAACAGTATCTATATTAAAGCATATTAATGGATAAATGATAGGATCTTAATCCATTCAGTTATCTGTACTTTTAAGAAACCAATACTTACAAAAACAAAAAGACCTGTACCTTTTTAGGATAGCTGAACATGACTCCACTTACAGTGAAAAAGAATCAAAGTAATGTGTAAAGATGCTTCTGAAGAAAGAGTCACAAGAGGCAAGACTTATTTGGAAGCCTGCAAATCCTTCTTCCAGTCTTGCCACCATTATGTTAACTACCATTCCATTTTTTCTAGGATTCTACAGCTAGTGTATGAATCTACTGATCATCTAATAATTGTCTGCAGCAGATTAACTATTTTTAATTAAGGATACTCATGCATCAGAGGGCAGAGATGATTCACTCAACCACCATTCCAATTGGATACTGCCTAGACAGTATACATTAGTAAGAGATTAGTAAGACTTTCTACAGAGTATTATCATCTTTGAATTACTAATGAAACTGTGGTGAACCTTGCACATTATTTTTAGTATTTGTGCCATTAAAACAAAAGCAAGCAGCAGGTAAAATTCCTTAACTTTCTCTTTTAATGAAAGAATAATAAAATATATTTAACTCATATATAGTGACAGAGAAGTCTTAAGTAACTTTCTAGTAAGTGCATATAAAATTCCATCAGAATCATGAAGTTTTAATTCTGAGCACTCTTTCATTAAATATTATAAGTAATAGGATAATTAAAAGCCCCATCTCCATAAACTCCACAGCAATTTATTTCTACTGCCATTATAGCACTATCATGCAGAATAATACATTCTGTTTTTATCTGCCCATTTCACCTTGAGTTTCCTGAGGACAAAAACCATGTCTTATTCTTTCTTAGCCCAGTGCTAGGCACAAACTAAGTAAATCTTGCTGAATCAATAATAATTAAACATCATAAGAGGAATCTGTTCCTATACTAATATTCAAGTCTCTAAGTATAAGTTTTGTTATAAACAAGGATGGCCTAAATAAAGAACTAGAGGTTAGGCATTAAAAAAAAGGAAACTCCATCACACAGACTGCCACCAGAAAGATTCAATGTTACTATGACTTCAATAAGAAGAAAACTAAGGCTAGAAAAAAATGGCTCCTTTGTAAACTGGTAAAATTGATGACTGAGCAATTTTGTAATCTTCTCTATGGTTTGGGTGTGAAATAGCAACAAATTATTTCTTTTAGTGAATTAACAAAAATACAAAAACCTGAAAGGTTATAAACAATCCCCAGAAGAAAAGATGTCAAAAACATGAACTTTTTTCTACATTGAAATGCAATAATCTCTTTTTTCACTTGCTTATTCTCCCAGAAAAGTTATGAAGAACACACAATAGTAAAGGTTGATATTTTAGCAACTCCTCCAGCATGCTTAAGAACAAAGAGCTCAGAATAAGTGAAATTTAATAGTGTATCAAATCACTTTCAAGAAAAAAATCGTTTAAACTTGTTTTGACAGAAACTTTCCAAACTGTTAAACACTCCGAAACCTCTCAGTTCAAAACACATTTGAACCTACTTTAGGTTCTCATTTTGATTACCAAATTAAAACATCATGTAATGATGCCCCCAAACTTCTGACTTGTAAAGGTTACCACAAGATTAAATGGGGCTTTAGTGGTTTTATAGCCACTTTATGTTCTGTCCTTTCTTGCAAATAGCACACCAACTAATATCACTTAGTTTTACTCAATTTTCATCTCTATTCTCTTACTTTTAATTTGCTGTTATTTAGAAGTGAAAAATCTTTTGTGAAGTTAAGCTTGTAAAACCAGTAAAACCCAAATGTAATATAAAATGTTAAGTGAAAAAAATAAGCACTTGATCCCTCACTATTCTTCGATTTCCAAATGGTGAGGGTGCTAGAAGTTCAATGGAAAAATGAGACACTACTACATTTACTGTAAGTAGTACTTTCCTTTTTATGGAATTACTAACTAGATGTCAAGCACATTTCTGACTAATTTATATTATTCATTGACTACACAGGACTCCTAAAATGAAATGTCTAAAAACACGGTAAGGTTATAGTTAAATGAGTGAATTTCAATATTCACCTTTCTTAAACGAACATTTCTTAAATGTTCTGATGGTATTATTCCCCCATGATAAAAGCTACATCATCAAATGTTTCCTATTACCTTAAAATCACTGTATCGTTTTGTCGATTCAAGTATCCTTCATTTGCAAGTAAGTCCAAACGAAAAAATCTATTATAACCCCAGCATTCTCCAACTTCAAAGTCAGATGCAAATTCTCGAATGATATTTTTGGTAGGATCATTGCAGGACTGATGAACCATCTCTACACGATATTCATATCTAAAATTGAAAAACAGACTATTAATATAGAGTAGTAAAGCAAGAATAAATGACTCACCAGAACACCAAGGCCACTACATTCGGTGATTACTTGAGAACAAACTTGTTAATACATACAGTTACATTTCTTTCAGAAAGGATACTATCATTTATAAAGACGGCAGAATTATAAATGGGTTACCACAACATGAGCAGCACTAGATCCTTTTTTCCCTTAAATATGACAGGTATAAAACACTACCTTAAAAAATACATAAATTCTGTATAAAACAGTACTTTCAAAGTTACTTTTGTTTCAGCAACACTATATATTTTTCCATATATTCATTACCTATATTTCCTCACATATGAAGATTCTACCATTTCCTTTGAGGCTTACCACTACACTATTCTAAAATAAATTTTGAAATACTCTATTTTTCCAATTCAAGTTATAACACATTAACTGTGTGTTCAGAAATTCAAGCCTATAAAAATTTCTAAAAATAAAAAAACATAAAATAAGTATGCATTGGGAAAACCAATATATTCAGATTTCTCTATCATATACAGAAGAAAACTTTCGAGTCTTCAAACTCATTTTTACTAAGAAAGCACTGTTATTACAAGAAGAAAGAAAAGGGAAGAAATGAAGATAATCAGAAGGAACACTCAATGATAGCCATAAAGCTTCTCTTTTTTGATGGAGATAATTTAAAACAAAAACACCATAGCTGGACCCGCTATTTCTGCTGGCAAAGGCAAAAGAAAAAATTATAGCTCTTTACCTACAAATATGAGATATATTTCTTTAAGCACTGTCAAATGATTTTTACATTAGTATCTCTCACAGTATGTTATCTGGACTGATGGTACAAAGAACCAACCAATACAAAAGCTGTGATATTTTGTCTGCCTAGAACTTTAGGCAAGTAATCAGGTCACCACTGTAGCACAAAGGGTGCTATTAAATGTCCAGAAATAAAACTAAATATCTATGCACAATTAATTTTTGACAAGGGTCCCAAGATCATTCCATAGGGAAAGAAAAATCTCTTCAATAAACGGTACTGAGAAAATTGGACAGCCACATGCAAAAGAATGAAGTTGTATCCCTGTCTAGCTTCATATACAAAAACTAACTCAAAATGGATCAAAATGGACCTAAATGTAAGGAGTAAAACTCTTAGAAGAAAACACAGGAGTGAAACGTCATAAATTCAAACATGGCAATGGATTTGTAGATTTGACTCCAACATATGAGCAACAAAAGAAAAAACAGATAACTTGGACTTCATAAAAATTTTAAACTTTTGAGTACCAAAGGACGTTACCAAGAAAGTGAAAAAAACCTACAGAATGGGAGAAACTATTGTCAAACCATCTATCTCACAATGGTTTAGTACACAAAATATATAAGGAATTCTTACAACTAGACAACAAAAAGACAACCTAATTTAAAAAGAGGCAATGGACTTAAATAGACATTTCTCTGAAGAAGATATATAAATGGCCAATAAGCACAAGAAAAGTGTTCAACTTCACCAGTTATTAAGGAAATGCAACTCCAAACCACAATGAGACATCACTTCATACACACTAGGATAGCTACAAAATATACTTAAAAATGGAAAATAATTAAGTATTGGTGAGGATGTGGAGAAATATGAACTCTCGCACATTGCAGGTAGGAAGACAGAATGGTGAAGCCAATGTGGAAAACAGTCTGGCAGTTCCCCAAAACATTAAACATAGAATTACCATATAATCCAGTAATTCCAAACTAAGTATATATTCAAAAGTAATGAAAACATATGTCCATATAGAAACTTGTACATGAATATTTACAGCAGAATTATTCATAAAAGCCAAAAGGTGGAAACAATCCAAACGTCCATCAACAGATGAATGGATTAACAAATTGAAGTCTATACCCAAACTGGGATATTATATAAAGGAATGAAGTTCTGACGTATGCTTCAACATGGGTGAACCTTGAAAACACTTACTAAGGGAACATAAGCCAAACAAACACAAAAGGTCCCATATCATATGGCCTTTTATATGAAATATCCAGAACATGCAAATAAATACACAGAGAGAGAAAGCAGAGTAGCAGGTGCTTAGGAATGAGAGAAGGAAGGATGGGGAGTGTTTACTTAATGGGTATGGGGTGTTCCTGACAGAGGAAAATATTCTGAAATGAGAGAGAGGTGGTGGTTGTGCAACACTGTAAATGCACTAAGTTCCACTGAATTGTATATTTAAAAATGGTTAATTACATATTATGTGAATTTCACCTCAGAAAAATAAACTTTTTACTTCTATTTTAAAAATCAGTGAGAAAGTCAAAACTCCAAGAGAAATAATTAAGAATACTGAAAATCTGGGCAGAAAAACATTAATGCAGATGGCCAAATACATCCAGGATCAAGACAGGTAAAAGTTTAAAATCAATATAAAACAGTTTTTGAAAAAGCAGTTCCTTTGTACAGAAAACCATGTAATAATCATTCTTTTATCTACATTAGTTCTTTAAAATCACAACAGATACAGATGTTTCTAATAAATATGGCAATTAATCCAAGTTAAATTATTTACATAGTACTCAATCCTAATCTTAGATAAAACTAAAACCTTAAATTTGAATATTTCAATTTAAATTCTTTTCTTCTGGGCCAGCCCTGTGGCCTAGTGGTTAAGTTCAGGGAGCTGTGCTTTGGCAGCCCAGGTTCATAAATTTGGATCCCGGGTGTGGACCTATACCACTCATTTACCCACGCTGTGGTGGTGAACCACATATAAAATAGAGGAAGACTGGCACAGATGTAAACTCAGGGCCAATCTTCCTCAGGGGGGGAAAAAACCCACAACTTTTCTTCTGTCAAACTGAAAGTGAGAATAAATTTAATAACTGTTAACTTAAAAATTTTAGTCTCATTATAATTACTCCCTCAGAAAAACTTCAACTCTTTCCTTAAGCAACACAAATTCCCATCTCTAAAACAAAAGGCACTCAGGAAACACTGTCAAAGAGTCAATTCCAGGATGTTACTCATGTACAAATTTCTTCTGACAGCCTACACATATGTGCAGGCTGTCATACACCTTTGTATAAATTTTTAAGCATAAAGAAATTAAAATATTTCTGCAGGGTCCCAAGTGAGACTAAAAGCTACTAGATAATGATACAATGATTTAACTTTTTCTTCCATATTTTGGCAATTAAACTACTTCACTGTTAAACTCTGAATTCCATAATTGAATGACATTTCAATATTTAATGAAAAAGCATTCAGAACTCTTCTCTAGGCTTAGTGAAGTGTTAAGAGAATTAATAGATAAGATGTTTGTTTTTATGAGAATAGAACAGCTTCATTAAGGTATTTAGATATCTGACAAACATAGAAATTCTTTTTTTTTTACAAATAGACAAACTCTAATCTTTTTGAACCTTAATATCCTGAATGATAATATTTTATTATCACTGATGCTATTACTATTTCTAAGACAATGTGAACTTTAAGCACCAAGATGAAACCAGTATCAAAGGCAAAAGAAATTATCACAAAATCTACATATCAGTAAAAGAGGAAGGAGAATTTTCACAAGGCAAGAAACAGGTAGATCAGCAAACAGATTAACCAAGAGAAAAGGAGAGGACCAAGATTAATGGTAGCAACAGGAACATGAACAAAATCCTATAATCACTGAACTTCTTATAATTCTGCCCAAGCTTAACCACGTTCCAATCACAAGGGCTGGCATCAGGAAATCAAACAGAGGTTGGTGGTTAAGAACAAAGAATAGAGAGACTGAAAAATTTGTGTTAAACAGATTGCTGTTTAAACAATGCTGAACTTGAGTGAAAAACTTACCTAAGCCATTGTATTTCTGTCTGTGAAATGAGAGTGATAATAGAACCTACAAGTCACAGGGTGTTGGCAAAGCAAAGTGCGTTATGGAAAGCACAGTGCCTGGTACAAAGTATAAACTCAGTAGATGTTAGCTGTTATAACACTGTTTCAGATCACACAGGAGATCTGGAGCAGAGCTACAACTAAATCATACTTAGAATTCAAAGGCCAGAAACTTTTCCACATTACTAGCTTTATTCATGGTATGACTCACCAGTGATGGCAAGAATATTATGCATTAAGGTTAGTCTATGCCAGAGGCTATTAAAATTTAGACTGTGTGTCCCTGGGGCTCAGTTCCTATGATCCTTTCAGAGATCCAAAAAGCCAAAACAATTTTCCTAATAAGACTAAACATTATTTGCCTTTTTCACTGTGTTGACATTTGCACTAATGGTGTAAAAGCAATGGTAGTTTAAATATACCAGTAGTCATTAAATTATTCATTGCCTAATGCTTTCAGATGTGGGGGGAAAAAGGCAGTGTCTCTCAAGAATGTCTTTGATGAAGTACTAAAAGTGATAAATGTTATTACACCTCAACTCTTGGTGTCACAAAACGGGAAATACGCATTAAGTACTCGTGCTGCGTAGTGACATGCAATGGCTGTCTTGGGGAAATCACCTTGACTGAATTGCAAGCTCATTACTAACTTTTCTGGTGAAACATCAAGTTGAAAGAACAACTGACAAGAGTTATTCAGTTGTGGATATCTGGCAGACAGTTTCTGGACCAAAAGAACTAAGGAAAAGAAATGTCACACTGTTGTCGATGATAAAACATAAGCATTCACATAAAAAATCATAATTCTGAAAAATTTCTATGTAATACCTGAGCTTAAACGCTTTCCAACACTTTTAAGACTTTCCTCATAAAAATGGTGATATCAATGAATGTGATTATTTGACATTTTATAATGAAATGTGTGAACTGCATGTTTATTAGTAAACCATTATTTTCCAAATGATCAGTGCACATTACAAAATCATGCATGAGTAAAAGATCCATTCAAAGTACACAACAGAAAAATAGTTTTTGTTGCTTGGTTTTTGAGTAGACAGCTTTAATGAAGTATAATGGAAATAAAGCTGGACCTATTTGAAG